TATTTTAAGAAAAAATTACTTATTGAGATTTATATTTTTTGCAGTGCTTGAATATATATATATATATATATATATATATATATATATATATTGTATATATAGTTGTGTATATATATATATATATATATTCTATGACTCATCCAATCACACTAGTTTTCACTAGATCTGCGTTGGACGGAGCACATGACGGGAAATAAATATTTAGAAATATTAAATATTTAGACATTAAACCAGGGGGAACCAATTAAAAATCAGCAGGGTCCAAATAAAGAAAATTAGGTTTATGCATTCATGCTATACACTGAATTTTTTAATAAAAAAAAAATGTTCCCCAGATACCACAACCTCCACCCTGACATACGACGTGCGGAGCACTTGTGAAAACAAACATGTAAATCAATGAGAGCTGTTCCACATCCACGTACGACTTCTCCATCCTTCACCATCAAAATACGTTGCTGAGCTACTGTAATCTCACCGAGATCCAATTTGTCAAATTAAAATATAGTAACAACAGATCTGGAGTAACTACAAATTAGAGCATAACTCTTCTATATTTCAAAAACTAACACTGTTAGTTTAGACCTTAAGGTCATTTATTTAAAAGATTGCAAACTATTTGCTTCTTCAACAGACCAGGAAGCACATTTCTCATCTCCATCACAAACTGAACATATGGGGATTTTTTAATCTGTCATATGAAATTAAGCGTTCATTTATGCATGTTTTGCTTCTAAGAATTTAATAATAATCCGTGACCTCTGCATTAAACCAAAGCCAAGAGTAATGATTGTTTTAAAAATGTAAGGAATAGAAAATGTAATGAGTAGAAGTCAGAAGTAGGAGGAAAAATAAGTGATGGAGTAAAATATAGATACCTAAAAAGACTATATTAATTAGGCTGTGTAAACTTCCTGTGACTGTTTCTGATATAAAGTCTATCAGAGGAAACTGGATCATCTGCCTGTTGCTCAGATAGAAGATCAATGGATCCTGAGTTCAACTCCTGGTTTATCTCTTCAGATTTATTGGTTTTCAAAATGAAAATTCAAACAAAGAGATAAATGCACTACAAGAAATACCAAGATTGTGTGAAAATAATAGTTAAATTTTACCATGAAATCAACTAATGACTTAAATATTTCTTTCAACATTTGTTTGTTGTCTAAGTGTAATAAAGTTGCATCTGTTAATAAGTAATGTGGCTAATGTTCCATTTAGTTTGTATAATCAAGTTGTTTGTTTTCAAGTTTTGTAATAAAACTACTGTTGTTATTTAAGACTCTTGGTCTTCCACTAAAACTTTCAGTCAGACCTTGTCTCCTGATGTATAACCTCCTCCGGTTGTTGCTGTGGAAGTCAGGGAGGGGACACGGCCCCCTCCCTGACCCACCGCAGTGGGAATTCCAGGCTACAGCAACCACAGAGGGAATTGAACTCAGACTCTGCACCACTGGCGCCTTACGGTCGCAGACAATCCCACTCTGCTATGACACCTGTCACACTTTGGACTTTTCTCAACTCAACTCAACTCAACTTTATTTTCAAATGTGCTACATGTAACATACAACACAGATGAAATTTCCATCCCCTCAACCCCACGGTGCATAATAAAATATAAAAATATATATATATTAAATGAGCCATAGCACGAAAATAAAAACCTAAGATATAAAATAAATATTAAAATATTAAATATGTAAACAGTAGTGTGAATGGTGCAAATAGTGCATAGAGTAGCAGTCCTGGGGAGAGTAGTGGAAAATAGTAGAGGATGGGGATATTGGGGGGTCAGGGGGGGGCAAAGGGGGGCAGGGCAGGGAGGGAATTGAGCATCCTCACTGCCTGATGGAAGAAGCTGTCTCTGAGCCTACTGGTTCTGGCCCGGAGACTCTGCAGCCTCCTCCCGGACGCATTTATGTTTTTGTTTCTTCTTCTATGGTTGTTGGAAAAACAGAAAATCAATTTCTGCAGGATTTGAACTCATGACCTTCTAGTTTCAGACCCAATGACTTAACAACCAGTCTATCAGTCTGTCTCACTGTGCTTCTCTTCTCGTAGCGCATCTGAATGTAACGTGTTTATAAGGACTCTAAGCTTCATGTTGAATTCTGTGAGAGATGAACCAGGAGTCAAACTCAGGATCCATGGATCTCTAAACCAGCAGCTCTTCTCTCTGAGCTACAAGGCAGATGATCCAGCTTCCTCTGATAGACTTTATAGATTCACACTTTGGACTTTTCTCTGTTTTCTCTTTTCAAAAAGGTTAAAATCAATCCACTGGACTTTGTTTCCAAGTTTGAAGACGTTTCTCTTCCATCCAGGAAGACTTTTTCAATTCAAAATGTCAGAAATAGCGTTTAGTTCCAGGTTTTATCAGCAGCCCAACAAAGCCTGGTTTTACTTTAGAAAACATGCAAATAGAAACGGATGAACGGGTCCCCCCCTTTGGAATGGGGGTCGATCGGCTATGTATGATTCCCATTCTTCTTGGAGAATAAAGCCCTTTATAAGAGGCTAGCAGTAGAAAGATAAATAAGTCCAGTAAGTCTACAGTTAGAGTGCAACATTTGTCTGAATTTAATTAGTCAGTTTTAATTTAAATAGAATTAGAATTTGATCCTTTGCATGATATGAGAAGTTGTTTATAGGCTGCTGTTTGGGTTTAAAGTTCATCAGAATAAGAAACTTTGACCAAGTTTCTCTTAAAGCAGCTAAAGTTTTCATGTCTTCCATCAGATCATCTTTTAATGTTTCATATTAAGCCTGAAATCTCAGCGTAGAATAAATGGCCGGATGGTCTTTCTGTTTCTGCTTCAGTTTTTCAGGCGAGGACTTGGAGATTTCTTCATCGGCTGCCTGTTCCTCACCGAGCTCAGCACTCCGTTCATCTCCGTAGGAAAGATTCTCATTCAGGTGAATAATGGAATCGTATTGACTCGGATCGTGATGCGGATTATTCCAGGTCTCCATCCGTGTTTCTCCGTTTCTTTCTCCCAGCTGCACCTCGATGACACCAAGCTGTATAGGATCAACGGCCTGGTCGCGCTCCTGACCTTCTTCACGTGTCGCATCCTTCTCTTCCCCTTCATGTACTGGATGTACGGCCGCCATGCGTCCGTTCCTCTGCACCGGGTGGCCTTCCACCTTCCTCTGCACTGTAACCTGGGGAACCTGCTGCTCCTCGCTCCACAGGTCTACTGGTTCGGTCTGCTGCTTAGGAAAGCTCAGCGACTCTACAGGAGGACCAGGAAGTCTGACTGACAACGTTGCTCTGGTTCATTATTAATCAGACTAATCGATTAGTGAAATAATCAACTAATTCAGTTAACTGGAGGAGAGACTCTAAAACACGTCTTTAGCTGACAGAGAAACTCAGAGCAAGAATTATAGGAAAACTATAAAAATATACATCATAATAAAGTCATAATATTTAAAAAAAATAAAGTTGTAACAAGAATAAAATCGTGACATTCTGAAAAAAAAGGTGTAAACTTACAGGAACGGTCATAAAATTATGAGAAAGTCATAAAATTACAGGAATGAAGTTGTAACATTACAAAAAGTTTTACATTTAGGGGAATAAAGTTTTAACTTTACGATATTTAAGTCCTAAAATCAGGAGAATAAAGTTGTATTTGACAACAAGAAGCTCCGTCTTCCCTAAAATGAGAAACTTTGAGCATCTTAAGTTACTTTGGCATCAAATGAGGAAATATTAAGTCTTTTTATCTGTATCAGAAATATGAAACGATTGTGCAAACATATATATTAGGGCTGCAACTAACGATTATTTAGCAATTCAATTAATCTGTCGATTATTTTTTAGATTAATCAATTAATAATCTGATAGCCAAACATTCTTAAAGATTTTTTTTACTAAATTAAACCAGGTGGAAGTAAAACTTTTCCATTTCAGTAGTTCTGGATAGACAGACAAAAATGTTTTATTGTTTTATTTTCTGTACAATCTTGGTCTAATTCCTGCTCTAAGTGGGTCGATCTGTCAACTAAAGGCAGGTTTAAGAGTCTCTATACTCCAGTTAGAGATTAATTACTAGATTAGTTAATGTGTGTATATCTATATATATATATCTCTGCAGGCTGGAGCTTAAAGATTTTGTTCTGAAACAGGAAGAAACGGGTTGTGGTATGATGACTTCATTCTTGTCATACTTCAACTTTTTTGTAATTTTATGACTTTATTATTGTGAATGAATTTATTATCATTATATTACACATTTATGATGTTGCAATAATCTCATAATGTTCCGACTTTCATCTCCAGCTTGGGTCAAACTAAAACTTAGAAGTTTAACTTTGATCCGGTTTAATTCTGTAAAAAAATCTTCTTTAAGGAACCTTTGATAATTGATTAAGCAAAAAAATAAATCGACAGATGAATCGATGAGCAAAAACAACAGTTTCAGCCTAACTGCTTAAACAGTGTAAAAATGTTTGTGATGTAAATGTTAAAGTTCAATAAATGCTATTTTTCTATTAAAGTTTGGTTGATTACATTTATAATTATTGCTTTTTACACCGCTGCAGTGATTCAGGTTGAATAAATACTTTTATACAGTATTTATTTAAGCTGGGAAGAAAAAAAACAAACATATTAGAACAAGTTATTTTATAAACATCTTAAAGAATTTTAAATTTCATGAAAATCCCATTTAATAAATCTTAATGCCAATTAAGGCCTTATTTTAAAAAATAATTTAAAGTGTGTGTATCCTCCATGCACCTTTTTATTCCTTTGACTATGTGAGTTGATGAAACGAGAACATTTCTCCACTGAGATCAATAAAGTCAATCGATCAGTCGACTGGAAGTGAATCTGAGGATTTAGTCGTAATTATCTTATTTTAAGGGTAGAAATCCTCCTATGGGCAGATTTTCTTAGATTGAGGTTAAATGCAGTTATTTTAAGAATTATAGACACATTTTTAGATAATTTTGTAGTTTTAGGACTGAACTAAGTTCATTATGAACAATTCATCTCAACATGAACACTTTGATTGGAAAATAACATTTATTTGACTTTAACGAGCCGAGCAAAGAGAGGAATCTGCATGTTTGATAGTTCTGTAAATCCGTCGGCGTCTCTTCATGCTGTAGATGACACCAGCTGAGCAATCTTCTGCTGCAGCACGTCCTTCATGCTGCGGTCGCTCAGGTTGGCTGTGATGGTGGAGAAGAAGTGGCGCGTGTCGTCGCTCTCAACGTGGCTGCAGCTGTCCGGGAAGGCGGCCATGATGGCCGCGTAGTTACTGAGGATCTCCAAGCTGCACAGGAACAGAGGCTCCGACTGGCCTCCTGGCATCATCACCTGCAGCCAACAAACGTCACAGTCTTTATTAGAAGGCGGAGCTTTGAATGCTACCTTTAGATCCGCTCGCTAACATATAAATCAGGATATCGTTTCCTCATGCAGTAGTTCTGGTGTGTTTCTACGTTAGGGAGGTTCAGGAACGAACCGATATGAGCTGCGAGATTGACAAATAGATCGAAGGGATTTGAAAAATCTGAAAGTCTTCTGTCAAAGTCTCCTCAACCAATCAGAGGCAGAGAAGTAGGGAGAAGGAAAGGAATGAAGTCAGAAAATGAAGGATAAAGTTAGGAATGCTGTTTAACATTCTCAGACATCCAGGTTTTAGTCATTCTGACAAAGTTAAAAATCAATCCTCTGGACTTTGTTTCCAAGTCTGAAGACGTTTCTCTTCCATCCAGGAAGTTTTTTCATTCCAAATGTCAGAAATAGCGTTTAGTTCCAGGTTTTATCCAGCAGCCCAACAAAGCCTGGTTTTAGTTTAGAAAACATGCAAATAGAAACGGATGAACGGGTCCCCCCCTTTGGAATGGGGGTCGCTTGGCTTCTTTGTTAGCCTGCAATGCCCCATACCTGTCTATGTCTCTGAAAGGGGGGGGGGCGTTAAGTGGTCAGCCAGGCAAACAATGGGCTCTATGCACAGCTCCACTACTTCCTGAATTTAAAGCAGCTCCTTTGTTTCCTGTCTTTCATTACTGGACGAACTGATTAATCCAGGTGTGTCTGGCCAGTTACTTAGGTCATACACACCTGGATTAATCAGTGCATCCAATCATGAAAGACAGGAAACAAAGGAGCTGCTTTAAATGCAGGAAGTAGTGGAGTTGTGCATAGAGCCTATTCCTCTTAAACAGAGGATTCATGACGAGTCCAGAACTTCTGTCCAACAACAGCCTAACTTCTGCACAACACACAGGAAATGATGCACAAGCCAGTGTCCTGTAGGGGGCAGCGATGCGCCCGGTCTGCAGAAAAAGATGTCTCTGATCGCGGTATTAACCTGCTGCTGTTTACCTCAAAAAGAAAAATAAATAAAGCAGGTTTCTGGTGTCTGCTGGGAAGTGTGTTGGTGGTGGGCGTGAACGCAGGGAGGATCCATCACTCACCTTCTGGCTCACCCTATGATGGGGATGAAGTCTGGAGGAGAACTGACGGTTTCCTCCTGTGAACCCCCGCTATACCAAAACGCTGCCAATACGCCATTATACAGTATGGAGGATAAAAAGTGCCAAAATTAAATAAATAAATACAGCATTAAATAGATAATTAAATGTGTAATTCATTAAATAAATAAGGAATTAAATATATACCATACCAACTTTATTTATGAAGCACTTTATACACCGAACAGGACCAAAGTGCTGTACACAATCATAAAATACAATACAATTATAAAATAGAGAAAAAACGAGTGTAAAATACATATTAGTATACAAAAAGAATAAAACAAATTAAAACCTCTCAAATTGTGCCAAAAGCCAAGGAAAAAAGATGAGTCTTAAGAAGGGACTTAAAAACAGCAAGAGAATATAAATGTGTCATTAATTTAATAAAATACGTCTTCATTTTATAAAAAAAATATATAGATAATTATTTCAGTGTGCATTTAATTATTTCATGGTCCTGTGTCGCAGTGCATCGAAACCATTAAAAGAATCTGTCAAACTCACCCATCAAAGTTAGGGGGCGGTTATCTAACACCTGATTGGTCGCCCTGCACATTAAGGCGAAGCAAATCGATTACAGAGACTCGATTCGCGTTAACCCCGCCCCCTAACTTTGATGGGTGAGTTTGACAGATTCTTTTAATGGTTTCGATGCACTGCGACGCAGGACCATGAAATAATTAAATGCACACTGAAATAATTATAGATATTTTGTTAATAAAATGAAGATGTATTTTATTAAATTAATGACACATTTATATATTTAATTCCTTATTTATTTAATGAATTACACATTTAATTAATTGTTTATCGCTGTATTTATATATTTAATTGTGGCACTTTATATTAGTGACGTGGTTTTAATTAATGAATGACACATTTATTTATTTAATTCCACATTTAATTAATTATTTACACATTAAATTATTTATTTAATGCTGTATTTATTTATTTAATTTTGGCACTTTTTATCCTCCATAATACAGTAGCTGGAACAGAGTTCCTCCACAATAAGTTCAATTCAAGACTTTTTAAGGCCACTTGAAATAAAAACCTTTAAGATCAATGGGGAGCAGTTCCGTGCAAATATATCGCGATTTATCTGACGAAATTGGTTTTATAAACTTTTTATTTAATCTCTAAATGCGACGATAATCACATTTAATGAGTTTTAATGCCAATTAAGGCCTTAATTGAAATAATAATAATTTAATACCTTTTAATGACCCGCAGAAACCCTTTTTAATGCTGCTTGATATAAAAAGTTAAGACCAACTTCACAATAAACACAATAAAAACCTGATCCCGACACATTTTACCCAAAAGCAGAGAAAAGTAGAGGTTTGGTTCTACTGCTGATGATGAGAGAGACGCTCTGGAGGCGTTGCAGATGTAACCTGCTATCAGTCAAGGACTTTTATTTTTGTGTTAGCCCAAACTCTGCTAGCTTTTTAAAGCCCCGCCTCCAGCATGCAGCTTAAAGATCCTCACCTGTTGGCGTCTTCCTCACAAACTCAAACACCTTGAACCGATTGATCTGATCGCCAGGTGAGTTTGTTATTTGATAACCGTATTATTATTTCGTGTGGTTCTTCTGCTCGATTGTTGATCGGAGCGTGTTTTATAGAATCGTTGGAGCCGATCACCTGGATTCTGTCAGAGCTGATTGTTGCTCAGTGCCCCCCCGCTCTCTTTTAGAAGGCAACTTATTGCTGGATTTTTAGTTCTGACCCGTTTCCATTGATGTTGGGCAGCGAAGTTTAAAATACATTTGATCAGAACAGAATGTATTTATACTTAACTTTGATATTGCGCCGTAAATTTAAGTATTTTTCCCCCCTTTCTATCAGTCTGCTTGAGTTTTTGATTATTATTACATTTTTCTTGATATTTGGAAATGGACTTTAATTTTAAATTGATTAGCTTGATATGATACTTTAACTTTATTTAAATCATGCTTAATTTAACCTGGTTGAAATGTTTGTCTAATCATTACGAATCTAATTATTATAATTGATTTGCATAAACTAAATGCTTAAAGTTTATAAACACTTAATGGCTTTTCTGACCTTTTAGGTCGAGGTTTTTTCTCTCCTGTCAGATCGAATCCTGGTCTGGATCTGAAGATGGGAGCTAGAAACGGACTTTAGGATTTTAGAATTAATTTATTCTGAGTCAGTTCGCTTGTGTCTCGTCGCGTTGCTGTAATTGTCCTTTTTTTCTTTTATTAAAATCACTTAATATATATTCACATAAACTAAATGCCTCCTGTTTTTCCTGCTTTAGTAGCTGCAGTTAGCTGCTTAGCCCATCACTCCATTCTAAAGGAGGAAAAGAATGAAGCAATCCTGCTGCTTCTCTGGATTTTGACACTTCGCACGTCTGACTCCGCTGCTCTGATTCCCATCGTGTCTCGTCTACATTCCCTGGTTCTGGTTTTAGTCGTGCAGAAAACTCTTGGAAAACTGATTTTCCTGAACTTTCCACTTCCCCTTATTGTCCAGATAAAAAGTTAGCAGCACAGCACTCTAAGGTCTGATGTTCTGTCAGATGAGCATACGCCATCAGACCAGCATACCCATGGTCAACACGCATGCTAACACGTCAGATTCAGCTTTATCCCTTCATCACTTTAGTTATGTAAGAAAAATAAACTTTAAACTACCTCAGCAGGCGTGTCTCCCTTTAGTCATGTAAAAAAAAAAATATTTACTCACTTTTTGGTGTTTATAAGCGTATGGCGATCTGAGTTAAAATAGTTTTTTGTACATGCCTAAAGGGAGACACGCCTGCTGAGGTAGTTTAAAGTTTATTTTCGTAAAAAAACGAAAGTGATAAAAGCAAATCTGACGTCTTGCGCTGCGTATTGACTACAGAGACGCTGGTCTGAGCAGAACAGCATCATTTTATTGGTTCCACAGGATGATGTCAATAATGGTTCCAGCGACAATTATTATCCGTCATTTTAATGTTTGATATTAATTACAGAAATAAAATCCTATTTATGACGTAACAATTTGAAGACGTTTGAAAGACATTTTAATACCAATTAAGGCCTTAAACTGAATAATTCTCTGCCTTTAAGGATCTGTGGGAACCCTGGAAGTTAGAAACACGTTCAGCGCTCGTCTGGAACACGTCAGATACGCTGATATGGTTGGACAGAAGTTCTGGATAAGTTAGTCAGAGGTTTAGGATCAGCTAGACGCCACGACTGATGAGGAACCGACACTGAACGGATGTCGACCATCAGATAGCTGACCTGGAACTGATGGCAGACGCTGGCGTACGGCGGGACGTTTTGAGCGTGTTCAACATTTCTCGCCGTATGCCGACATGTGCTAACGTACTTCAGGGTGCTCAGATTCTTCCTACATCAAGCATCGTTGGTCTAAATGGTTGAGGTGGACGGGAGCTTTAGATGGCCTCCTACCTGGATGTGCTGAACATGGCAGTAGAGCTGGCTGAGAACGAAGAGCACCTCCTGGCTTGGAGCTGAATGCGCCTCCTTCTCCACAGGAGCCTCAGGTTCCTGAAGACTCTCCTCAGCATTGCTCAGAAGATCCGGATCCAGTTTAGTAGCTTCAGACGACGGATTAAAGGCTCTGGAACCAGGAGACGCTGTGGCAGCAGAAGGTGGATGGAGAGGAAGCTTGGCTTTCACGCAGCTCACGATGCTCCTCACGGCGTAGGCGTGCAGCCTGCAGAGGTGAGCCCAGCCGTCAGAGGGCAGCCAGGCCGAGCAGCTGGAGCCGCAGAGCAGCTGCAGGACCCGCAGCAGGAGCACCGACAGCCGCAGCTCGCAGGAGAACTGCTTCAGGTCCAGCAGGGGGAGGTAGTCCACGTACTCCAGGGAGAAGGGGACGCTCAGGCGAGCCGACCGGATCAGCTCCCTCAGAACTCCCAGCAGCCGTGCCCACTGGGACACGGAGCACCAGGGGAGCGTCTGCGTGAGCGCCACCAGCAGGCCTTTGCTAAACATGCTGACATGGTCAGGCCGGCGCCGATCCAGACTGAGACACGACAACATGGTGGAGCGCAGGGAGTCGGACAGCGAGCAGCACTCCATCCAGGCTAGAAGACCCGTCCCCTGGCCGTACGCTGGGAGCTCCAGACCAGACCACTCCTGCAGGAAAGGAGGTCACAATAAGGAGTCGGTCCGGTTTCTGGGTCGACCTTTAGGAGCAGAACACCAGAACCAGAACCTGATACAAAACACAGCAGATTTTACTGGTTTTAACCAGATTATCATCCAACAACCTGCCGACCGTTAAAGTCGTACTGAAGTCAGATTTAAATATCAAATCATTCATGTTTATAAATGTTCTCTTTATCAGATCATATATGCAAACATGTACGGCTGGAAGCCTTCTACACCAAACCAAGCTTCTGCCGCCCTGGCGTCCTCTTCCACAACATCTTCGTCCCCGCTTTCCTCCTCTAAATAAAAAATGGATGATGGAGGAGACTCATCCATGACCTCCGACACTAAACTGAGCTGGAATGGAACCAAATCAGTGAAGGAGCGTTTAGTTAAGCCCCGCCCCCCCATGCAAACACTGTGACAGCTTGTAGTGACATCATAGCTGCAGGAACTCCGACTGAGCCGCTCTTCTAGCACCTAGACCCGGCAACCATACCCGGCAACTAGTCATGGCAACTAGTCCCGGCACCTAGTCATGGCAACTAGAACCTGGCAACTAGAACCTGGCAACTAGTCCTGGCAACTAGACCCGGCAACTAGACCTGCCACCTTGTCCTGGCAACTAGTCCTGGCAACTAGACCTGACAACTAGACCTGACAACTAGTCCTGGCAACTAGACCCGGCAACTAGTCCCGGCAACTTGTCCCGGCAACTTGTCCCGGCAACTTGTCCCGGCAACTTGTCCCGGCAACTTGTCCCGGCAACTAGTCCCGGCAACTAGTCCCGGCAACTAGACCCGGCAACTAGACCTGCCACCTAGTCCTGCCACCTAGTCCTGGAAACTAGTCCTGACAACTAGTCCTGGCAACTAGTCCTGGCACCTTGTCCTGGCACCTTGTCCTGGCACCTTGTCCTGGCAACTAGTCCTGGCAACTAGTCCCGGCAACTAGTCCCGGCAACTAGTCCCGGCAACTAGTCCCGGCACCTTGTCCCGGCACCTTGTCCCGGCACCTTGTCCCGGCACCTTGTCCTGGCACCTTGTCCTGGCACCTTGTCCTGGCACCTTGTCCTGGCACCTTGTCCTGGCACCTTGTCCTGGCACCTTGTCCTGGCAACTAGACCTGACAACTAGACCTGACAACTAGTCCCGGCACCTTGTCCTGGCACCTTGTCCTGGCACCTTGTCCTGGCACCTTGTCCTGGCACCTTGTCCTGGCACCTTGTCCTGGCAACTAGACCTGACAACTAGTCCCGGCACCTTGTCCTGGCACCTTGTCCTGGCACCTTGTCCTGGCACCTTGTCCTGGCAACTAGACCTGACAACTAGACCTGACAACTAGTCCCGGCACCTTGTCCTGGCACCTTGTCCTGGCACCTTGTCCTGGCACCTTGTCCTGGCACCTTGTCCTGGCAACTAGACCTGACAACTAGACCTGACAACTAGTCCTGGCAACTTGTCCTGGCAACTTGTCCTGGCAACTAGTCCCGGCAACTAGTCCCGGCAACTTGTCCCGGCAACTAGTCCCGGCAACTAGTCCCGGCAACTAGACCCGGCAACTAGACCCGGCAACTAGACCTGCCACCTAGTCCTGCCACCTAGTCCTGGCAACTAGTCCTGGCAACTAGTCCTGGCAACTAGACCTGGCAACTAGTCCTGGCACCTTGTCCTGGCACCTTGTCCTGGCACCTTGTCCTGGCAACTAGTCCTGGCAACTAGACCTGACAACTAGACCTGACAACTAGTCCTGGCAACTTGTCCTGGCAACTTGTCCTGGCAACTTGTCCCGGCAACTAGTCCCGGCAACTAGTCCCGGCAACTAGTCCCGGCAACTAGACCCGGCAACTAGACATGGCAACTAGACCTGCCACCTAGTCCTGCCACCTAGTCCTGGCAACTAGTCCTGGCAACTACACCTGACAACTAGTCCTGGCAACTAGTCCTGGCAACTAGACCTGGCAACTAGTCCTGCCACCTAGACCTGGCAACTAGTCCTGGCAACTAGTCCTGCCACCTAGTCCCGGCAACTAGTCCTGCCACCTAGACCTGGCAACTAGTCCTGGCAACTAGTCCTGCCACCTAGTCCCGGCAACTAGTCCCGGCACCTAGACCAGGCAACTAGTCCCGGCACCTAGAACCTGGCAACTAGAACCTGGCAACTAGTCCTGGCAACTAGTCCTGGCAACTTGTCCCGGCAACTTGTCCCGGCAACTAGTCCCGGCAACTAGTCCCGGCAACTAGTCCCGGCACCTAGACCAGGCAACTAGTCCCGGCACCTAGAACCTGGCAACTAGAACCTGGCAACTAGTCCTGGCAACTAGTCCTGGCAACTAGTCCTGGCAACTTGTCCTGGCAACTTGTCCCGGCAACTAGTCCCGGCAACTAGTCCCGGCAACTAGTCCCGGCAACTAGTCCCGGCAACTAGTCCCGGCAACTAGACCTGGCAACTAGACCTGGCAACTAGACCTGCCACCTAGTCCTGGCAACTACACCTGACAACTACACCTGGCAACTAGTCCTGGCAACTAGTCCTGGCAACTAGACCTGACAATTAGTCCTGGCAACTAGTCCTGCCACCTAGACCTGGCAACTAGTCCTGGCAACTAGTCCTGCCACCTAGTCCCGGCAACTAGTCCCGGCACCTAGACCAGGCAACTAGTCCCGGCACCTAGAACCTGGCAACTAGAACCTGGCAACTAGTCCTGGCAACTAGTCCTGGCAACTAGTCCTGGCAACTAGTCCTGGCACCTAGACCTTGCAACTAGTCCTGGCAACTAGTCCTGGCAACTAGTCCTGCCACCTAGACCTGGCAACTAGTCCTGCCACCTAGACCTGGCAACTAGTCCTGCCACCTAGACCTGGCAACTAGTCCTGGCAACTAGACCAGGTAAGGAGACCTGGCACCTAGTCATGACACCTAGTCCTGGCCCCTAGTCCTGACACCTAGTCCGGGCCCCTAGTCCTGGCCCCTAGTCCTGGCACCTAGTCCTGGCCCCTAGTCCCGACACCTAGTCCCGGCCCCTAGTCCTGGCACCTAGTCCTGGCCCCTAGTCCCGACACCTAGTCCCGGCCCCTAGTCCTGGCCCCTAGTCCTGGCCCCTAGTCCCGACACCTAGTCCCGACACCTAGTCCCGACACCTAGTCCCGACACCTAGTCCTGGCCCCTAGTCCTGGCCCCTAGTCCCGGCACCTAGTCCAGGTAACTAGTCCTGGCACCTAGTCCTGGCCCCTAGTCCTGACACCTAGTCCCGGCACCTAGTCCCGGCACCTAGTCCAGGTAACTAGACCAGGTAACGAGACCTGGCACCTAGTCCCGGCACCTAGTCCTGGCCCCTAGTCCCGACACCTAGTCCTGGCCCCTAGTCCCGGCACCTAGTCCAGGTAACTAGTCCTGGCACCTAGTCCTGGCCCCTAGTCCTGACACCTAGTCCCGGCACCTAGTCCTGGCCCCTAGTCCCGACACCTAGTCCCGGCACCAAGTCCTGGCCCCTAGTCCCGACACCTAGTCCCGACACCTAGTCCCGGCACCTAGTCCCGGCCCCTAGTCCTGGCCCCTAGTCCTGACACCTAGTCCCGGCACCTAGTCCCGGCCCCTAGTCCTGGCCCCTAGTCCCGGCACCTAGTCCAGGTAACGACACCTGGCACCTGGTCCCGGCACCGAGTCCTGGCCCCTAGTCCTGGCCCCTAGTCCCGACACCTAGTCTCGACACCTAGTCCTGGCCCCTAGTCCTGGCCCCTAGTCCCGGCACCTAGTCCAGGTAACTAGTCCTGGCACCTAGTCCTGGCCCCTAGTCCCGGCACCTAGTCCCGGCACCTAGTCCCGACACCTAGTCCCGGCCCCTAGTCCTGGCCCCTAGTCCTGACACCTAGTCCTGGCCCCTAGTCCCGACCCCTAGTCCTGGCCCCTAGTCCTGACACCTAGTCCTGGCCCCTAGTCCCGACACCTAGTCCTGGCCCCTAGTCCCGGCCCCTAGTCCTGACACCTAGTCCTGGGCCCTAGTCCCGGCACCTAGTCCAGGTAACTAGTCCTGGCACCTAGTCCCGACAACTAGACCTGGCACCTAGTCCTGACCCCTAGTCCCGGCGCCTAGTCCAGGTAACTAGTCCTGGCACCTAGTCCCGGCACCTAGTCCAGGTAACTAGTCCTGGCACCTAGTCCCGGCACCTAGTCCAGGTAACTAGTCCTGGCACCTAGTCCCAGCACCTAGTCCAGGTAACTAGTCCTGGCACCTAGTCTAGGTAACTAGTCCTGGCCCCTAGTCCCGGCACCTAGTCTAGGTAACTAGTCCTGGCCCCTAGTCCCGGCACCTAGTCCAGGTAACTAGTCCTGGCCCCTAGTCCCGGCACCTAGTCCAGGTAACTAGTCCTGGCACCTAGTCCCGGCACCTAGTCCAGGTAACTAGTCCTGGCAACTTGTCCTGCCACCTAGACCTGGCAACTAGTCCTGCCACCTAGACCTGGCAACTAGTCCTGGCAACTAGACCAGGTAACGAGACCTGGCACCTAGTCATGACACCTAGTCCTGGCCCCTAGTCCTGACACCTAGTCCCGACACCTAGTCCTGGCCCCTAGTCCCGGCCCCTAGCCCCGACACCTAGTCCCGGCCCCTAGCCCCGGCCCCTAGTCCTGGCCCCTAGTCCCGGCACCTAGTCCAGGTAACTAGTCCTGGCACCTAGTCCTGGCCCCTAGTCCTGACACCTAGTCCCGGCACCTAGTCCTGGCCCCTAGTCCCGGCACCTAGTCCAGGTAACTTGACCAGGTAACGAGACCTGGCACCTAGTCATGACACCTAGTCCTGGCCCCTAGTCCTGACACCTAGTCCTGGCCCCTATTCCAGACACCTAGTCCCGGCCCCTAGTCCCGACACCTAGTCCCGACACCTAGTCCTGGCCCCTAGTCCTGACACCTAGTCCCGACACCTAGTCCCGACACCTAGTCCCGACACCTAGTCCCGGCCCCTAGTCCCGGCCCCTAGTCCTGGCCCCTAGTCCCGGAACCTAGTCCAGGTAACTAGTCCTGGCACCTAGTCCCGGCACCTAGTCCAGGTAACTAGTCCTGGCACCTAGTCCTGGCACCTAGACCTGGCACCTAGTCCTGGCACCTAGACCTGGCACCTAGTCCTGACCCCTAGTCCCGGCACCTAGTCCTGACCCCTAGTCCCGGCACCTAGTCCTGACCCCTAGTCCCGGCACCTAGTCCAGGTAACTAGTCCTGGCACCTAGTCCAGGTAACTAGTCCTGGCAACTAGTCCTGCCACCTAGACCTGGCAACTAGTCCTGGCAACTAGTCCTGGCAACTAGTCCTGCCACCTAGACCTGGCAACTAGTCCTGGCAACTAGTCCTGCCACCTAGACCTGGCAACTAGTCCTGCCACCTAGACCTGGCAACTAGTCCTGGCAACTAGACCAGGTAACGAGACCTGGCACCTAGTCATGACACCTAGTCCTGGCCCCTAGTCCCGGCCCCTAGTCCTGGCCCCTAGTCCCGACACCTAGTCCCGGCACCTAGTCCTGGCCCCTAGTCCTGGCCCCTAGTCCTGACACCTAGTCCTGGCCCCTAGTCCCGACACCTAGTCCCGGCCCCTAGTCCCGGCCCCTAGTCCTGGCCCCTAGTCCCGGCACCTAGTCCAGGTAACTAGTCCTGGCACCTAGTCCTGGCCCCTAGTCCTGACACCTAGTCCCGGCACCTAGTCCTGGCCCCTAGTCCCGGCACCTAGTCCCGGCACCTAGTCCAGGTAACTAGACCAGGTAACGAGACCTGGCACCTAGTCATGACACCTAGTCCTGGCCCCTAGTCCTGACACCTAGTCCTGGCCCCTAGTCCCGGCCCCTAGTCCCGGCCCCTAGTCCCGACACCTAGTCCCGGCCCCTAGTCCTGACCCCTAGTCCTGACACCTAGTCCTGGCCCCTAGTCCCGACACCTAGTCCCGGCACCTAGTCCCGGCACCTAGTCCAGGTAACTAGTCCTGGCACCTAGTCCTGACACCTAGACCTGGCACCTAGTCCTGATCCCTAGTCCCGGCACCTAGTCCCGGCACCTAGTCCCGGCACCTAGTCCAGGTAACTAGTCCTGGAACCTAGACCTGGCACCTAGTCCTGACACCTAGACCTGGCACCTAGTCCTGACCCCTAGTCCCGGCCCCTAGTCCCGGCACCTAGTCCAGGTAACTAGTCCTGGCACCTAGTCCTGACCCCTAGTCCCGGCCCCTAGTCCCGGCCCCTAGTCCCGGCACCTAGTCCTGACACCTAGACCTGGCACCTAGTCCTGGCCCCTAGTCCTGACACCTAGTCCTGGCCCCTAGTCCCGACACCTAGTCCCGGCCCCTAGTCCCGGCCCCTAGTCCTGGCCCCTAGTCCCGGCACCTAGTCCCGGCACCTAGTCCTGGCCCCTAGTCCTGACACCTAGTCCTGGCCCCTAGTCCCGACACCTAGTCCCGGCCCCTAGTCCTGGCCCCTAGTCCCGGCACCTAGTCCTGGCCCCTAGTCCCGGCCCCTAGTCCCGGCACCTAGTCCCGGCACCTAGTCCAGGTAACTAGACCAGGTAACGAGACCTGGCACCTAGTCATGACACCTAGTCCTGGCCCCTAGTCCTGACACCTAGTCCTGGCCCCTAGTCCCGACACCTAGTCCCGGCCCCTAGTCCCGACACCTAGTCCCGACACCTAGTCCCGGCCCCTAGTCCTGAACCCTAGTCCTGACACCTAGTCCTGGCCCCTAGTCCCGACACCTAGTCCCGACACCTAGTCCCGGCACCTAGTCCAGGTAACTAGTCCTGGAACCTAGACCTGGCACCTAGTCCTGACACCTAGACCTGGCACCTAGTCCTGACCCCTAGTCCCGGCCCCTAGTCCCGGCCCCTAGTCCCGGCACCTAGTCCAGGTAACTAGTCCTGGCACCTAGTCCTGACACCTAGACCTGGCACCTAGTCCCGGCCCCTAGTCCCGGCCCCTAGTCCCGGCACCTAGTCCAGGTAACTAGTCCTGGCACCTAGACCTGGCACCTAGTCCCGACACCTAGACCTGGCACCTAGTCCTGACCCCTAGTCCCGGCCCCTAGTCCCGGCCCCTAGTCCCGGCCCCTAGTCCCGGCACCTAGTCCAGGTAACTAGTCCTGGCACCTAGTCCTGACACCTAGACCTGGCACCTAGTCCTGACCCCTAGTCCCGGCCCCTAGTCCCGGCCCCTAGTCCTGGCCCCTAGTCCCGACACCTAGTCCCGGCCCCTAGTCCTGGCCCCTAGTCCCGGCACCTAGTCCAGGTAACTAGTCCTGGCACCTAGTCCTGGCCCCTAGTCCCGGCACCTAGTCCAGGTAACTAGACCAGGTAACGAGACCTGGCACCTAGTCATGACACCTAGTCCTGGCCCCTAGTCCTGGCCCCTAGTCCTGACACCTAGTCCTGGCCCCTAGTCCCGACACCTAGTCCCGGCCCCTAGTCCCGACACCTAGTCCCGACACCTAGTCCCGGCCCCTAGTCCTGACCCCTAGTCCTGACACCTAGTCCCGACACCTAGTCCCGACACCTAGTCCCGACACCTAGTCCCGGCACCTAGTCCAGGTAACTAGTCCTGGCACCTAGTCCCGGCACCTAGTCCCGGCACCTAGTCCCGGCACCTAGTCCAGGTAACTAGTCCTGGCACCTGGTCCTGGCCCCTAGTCCTGACACCTAGTCCCGGCACCTAGTCCCGGCACCTAGTCCAGGTAACTAGACCAGGTAACGAGACCTGGCACCTAGTCATGACACCTAGTCCTGGCCCCTAGTCCTGGCCCCTAGTCCTGACACCTAGTCCTGGCCCCTAGTCCCGACACCTAGTCCCGGCCCCTAGTCCCGACACCTAGTCCCGGCCCCTAGTCCCGACACCTAGTCCCGGCCCCTAGTCCCGACCCCTAGTCCTGACACCTAGTCCTGGCCCCTAGTCCCGACACCTAGTCCCGGCACCTAGTCCAGGTAACTAGTCCTGGCACCTAGTCCCGGCACCTAGTCCAGGTAACTAGTCCTGGCACCTAGTCCTGACACCTAGACCTGGCACCTAGTCCCGACCCCTAGTCCCGGCCCCTAGTCCCGGCCCTTAGTCCCGGCCCCTAGTCCCGGCCCCTAGTCCCGGCCCCTAGTCCCGGCCCCTAGTCCCGGCACCTAGTCCAGGTAACTAGTCCTGGCACCTAGTCCTGACACCTAGACCTGGCACCTAGTCCCGACCCCTAGTCCCGGCCCCTAGTCCCGGCCCCTAGTCCTGGCCCCTAGTCCAGCTCCTCTAGCAGCGCACAGCAGCCCTAAATCCCACGTACCTGTTCAGGCAGCTCACACACCTCCAGCAGGGAGGAAGGCGCCTCGTTTTTAAAGTGCTGCCCCCATACAGGCTTCAGGTGGAAGCGCACCGTCCAATCCAGATCCTCGGTTTTGTCATAGAGCCAGAACAGCGCTCTGGACCAGCTGCTGGGGGCTGCCTCCACCTCCGCACCCACCACCCTTCCCAGCGCGGTCAGCACCGAAACCAGCAGCTCCTTGGTGTCCATGGAGCGCAGGTAGACGGCGCCCTCCGGTGGCTCCTCCCAGCACCTGTACGCCTGGCTGTAGAGCTGGGCGAGGACAAACAGGAGGGGGAAGGGGGAGCAGGCCAACACCCAGTGAGGAGAAGCAGCCGCTTCCACAGACAGAGCGGCGTGGAGAAGCTGCAGGCTGAGCTCAGCATCCACGCCGTCTCCTAGCAACACAGAGACAGGAAATCAGCACCGGAACCGGATTAAAGTTTTACTTTAATTAGGACTTTAATATCAAAGAGCTGAACTTTTAGCCGCAGTTAAATCCATTTAAGGTTATTTCCAGTCCAGGGTTTCCAGGTTTCCCCTAAAAAACGGGATCGCTCCGTATTTTTATTTATTGACTGTGCAATATGCTGAATGTGCAATATATGTGAATATAATCATAATAATATAATATAATAATATCATACCACCACCTCACCGTTGTTCCTAAATCTACCTGTATATATTTCTATTTTTTATTCTTATTTTTATTTTGTTTTTTCATTGTGTGCGATACATGTACTCTTGGACCTTAATCCTTATTTATCTTGATTTACCTGGATATACTGCATATATATTGTTTATTCTTAATGCACCTTTTTCCTCCTTCTTTGCACCTTCTGTAACTTCTATGCCAAAATGTGACGAGTGAATTTCTCCGCTGTGAGATCAATAAAGCTCATCTAATCTTATCTTATTTAGAAGTAAAGCTGCCTAAACTCAAACAGGTCAGCCATGTTGGTGCAGCAAATGTTTCCTCCATGGATAAAAAATATAAGAAAAAATGTATAATTTTTTTACTTAATTCTGAATTTATAGGTATAACAAAGATGTTTAAGTTAATAGGAATATTACAACATAGTTAGACCAACATGTTTCACTAGTCATGGATCCCTTCATGTTGTTTTAGAGCCTGACCCTAACATCCCACATCATCCTCCAGAGCGCCGCGCAAAGCAAAGCTGCAGCCTCCGCTGATCCTCCCGTCCTGCTCTGACTTCCTCTGAGCTCCAGGAGAGCAGCGCCATATTATCATGACACTCATAGGAGCAAAACATGCGGAAATGAACGCTTTATTTAACACAATTCAAACTCACCATCAGCATCAATCTAACGTGTTTCTGCCCAAACATTTTGCCTCGTTGTGGGTTTTTATGATAATTAGGATCATAAATCGGTTTGTTCTCTGCCTCCAAACTCAGCATCTCTGCTTCATCCTGAGATAAAAAGATTGTTTTCAAGTTCTGAGATTCGCTCCTTGAACTTTGCTTTGAATGGATTTCATTAAACTTTTAAGCCTCTCGGTATAAAATCAATATTTTGATGGAGATGAGAAATTCTTCCTACTGGTCTGTTGAAGAACCGATAATTTGCATTCAATCATTTTAATTAATAGCTTTAATTAGTTTTTGAGATTATATAAAAATTATGCTCTAATTTTTAGTTACTGTTACTTTAATTTAATTTGACAAATCGGATCTTCTCGCCGTTCTTTTTCCTGTTTGGTGAGATTGAAATAGCGGATCTTGGCCGGACCGGAGCGGAGCTAAAAATAGCTCAGTTACGTATTTTGACAGAGAAGACGTAGGTGGACGGAGACGTAAGTGTGAAGAACGAAGACGGAGGAAGAGGAATCTGGAGGTTAATCAGTTCTAAAGTTTAATCACATAAATCCTAAAATATGAACTTTTATGGATATAATGCAACAAAATGTGAAAAGTTTACATTTCGAAGGAAAACCTGTGTGGGTTAAAGCTAACGGCGTTCTTACCCTTAGCTAGCAGGTTGGGGAGGACGAAGGTGTTGACGACGTTCTCCGGCGACAGGAAGCTTCGTTTCTCCTCCTCTTCATGCGGCGTCATCAGCAGAACCAGGAACTGGAGGAGTTGCTGCTTCTCGCCGGGCGACATGGATCTGTTGGCGATCGTCTCCTGCAAACATGTGCAGAGCGGGTCGCTCAGAGAAACGCCGCCGGGTTCTCCGGGTCGCCTCAGTCCAGGCAGCTGCTGCAGGATCCTGGCCATCAGAGCCGAGGCCCCCCTGTTATAAACAGCCGCCTGGCAGCACGACTTCAAAGCCGCCTCTGGGTTCTGAAACGCCACCCTGGCTACCAAGGAGACGGCGGTGGTCAGGTTTCCCTGCGACGCGGCTGCCGAGGCGCCGCCCCCTCCTTGGATGATGCAGTTGAAGGCCATGTTGAGCTCCAGCTCGAAGGCCTCGGTCACAGCTGCAGGGAGCGGACGGCTGAAGAAGCCCCTGCTGGATGATGTCAGAACTGCAGCCAGGACTCGGTTCTGATCCGGTAAAGAAAGAGCAGAGAAAACATCTGCAGCCGTTTTCATCAGCTTCCTGCTCTGATGAACATCCAGGCTTCCTGCCTGCAGGAGGCTCGCCACGCTGGAGGACAGGCTGACCAGCGTCTGCGGCTGCAGGAAGGCCGCCTGGTTCCGCTCCAGGCAGAGCAGCCAGGTCTCAGAAGGAGCCCAGAACCTCTGGCCTGCAAACAGCTCCGCGAAGCGCTCATAGTCCTGCAGGCGGTGAGCGATGATGGCGGCGGCCACCTGAGCCTGGGCGTCTGGAGCGCTCTCAGCAGCGGGGAACTCCAGAGAGCCCAGCAGATCCCGGAGCGCGTTCTTCTCCGTCAGAGCTTCAGGAAGTTCATCCAGAGCAGGCAGAACCCTCCGGACGCTGTGCTGCAGCCGCAGCGCAGAGCGGCGAGGGACCGGGGCGTCGCCGGATGTCAGAAGGCCTTCGTCCTTCCAGAGCTGAGCGACGTCCGTGACGATCTGCAGAGCTTCAGGCAGCTTCATGCTGCTGGGCCCAAAGCGGGACGGGGACAGAGACGCACGCAGGTCTCTCTGAGCGTCTCGGATCCGTTCGGGATCCGGAGTCTCCTCCTCTCCTCCGCAGAGGATCCATTTACTCAGGAGGTCCAACTTCTCCGCGGCGGGAACCGTGACCTCCTGCTTCATCAGCAGGGAGGTGTGCAGAGCGTCGAGACAAACCGACAGGGCCTGAAAACAAACGTCTGCAGAAGAAACCAGGCCCCTCATGTCTCTGAGTGCGTGAAGGAGAACCTGCAGGATGTCGGCCGACGTTTCCTCTGCAGCGTCCAGCTTCAGCCTCTTGGCAGCGCGAGGAGTCGGACCGGGACGGTCTGAGGACAGACGGGCGAACTGGGAGGCAAACATGGCCTCCACGCCGTCTTCGTTTTCTGCGTTTGTATCTTCTCCGCCTTTCCACAGCTCCCACCAAACCTCCAGGAAAAACCGGACATCTTCCTGGGCCGCCGGGTCGCTCCTGACGTGCTCCGTCAGCCGCTCCAGCTCAGCCACGATCCGGGGGGGAGGAAGATGAAGGAGGAGACCGGCAAAGATGGCTGCGGCGGCGGTGGACTTGAGCAGCTCCAGCAGGACAGCATGGTTGAGCTCAGGGAGGCTGTTCTGCAGACAGAAGAACGGATTCTCTCTCCACGCCGTTTCAACGTCCTCCTCAGCTTCTCTGCTCAGCAGCTTCAGCCACACGGAACAAACCATCTTCTTCTTCCAGGTTAAGGCTGGGCGGGGCCTCAGAGCGCCGCAGATTTCCTGGACGGCGAGCAGGATCGGCCGGCAGACGCGGCTCCATTCAGCTTTCTGAAGGGAGGACAGCGATGCAGGGAGACACAACTTATCAGCGTGGAGGAAAGCCCCCTGGAGAACGGCTGCTTCTGCAACAAACCAAAGCAGAGCTTCGTTAACCTTTGGCCTCTATAGCCTCATTTTCATTCCCCTCCTGAAACCGTGGCGATATCGGTCCGAGCGCGCTAACCCCGATAACTGCTGACTGTAAATGGCACAAAAACAAGTGAACTGCGCTAACATGGTGCTAGTTCATCAGTAGGGCTAACAAAGAGCGCATGAGCAGACCGCCTCCTCTGCTGAACACTGGTTCATATTCACAAATCAGGTCCAAAAAACAAATTTAAATAATGAAATTTATTTGTGCTAAAGGGAAACACGCCCGCTGAGGAGGTTTCAAGTTTATTTTATGTTCAAAACTAAAAGGATAAACGAGTTTTCATAGTAGCTGCATCTGGTCTGTTCCTGTTTGGCTGTGACTCCATCCTGGAGAGAAATATCAGCTGTGCTGCTGCCATCAACACCTTTGTTTCTAGATGTTGGAGCTTGGCCTGTTTTCCAGTGTAGTCCTGTTTCTCTGACTGTGACTAACTGGATGTGCTCTCTTCATCCTCTGACATGGGAGCTGGCTCGGAGCTCGTCTGCCTGGCTGTGTGTTTCCTGGACGGGGCCGCCTGTGGAGCTGGTTGACAGTTGCCTTTTGTATCTATGCTAGGGCTGCAACTAACGATTATTTTAAAAATCGATGAATCGGACAATTTTTTTTTCGATTAATCGATGAATCGGACAAAAAATATTTTTTATATTAACCTCTTTATTCCAAAATAAACATTTTAGACAGAACAAACAAGCACACAAGTACAGGTTGCTCATTAACTGTACTGGTGCAATATGAAAAATAAATGTTTGTGTTAAAACTACGCAAACTTACATGAGAAATGTAGCTGTACATCCACGAAATATAGGGTACTTTGTTTCATAAAGCGCAAAACAAGACATTTTTGTTTTTAAAGCCCCTAAGGGGTTCAAACAATAGGCCCCCCCATTTCAACAAATGAGCTTATTTTTTAGACTAGAAGAGTTCTGCCTTTTAAGAACGGAAAGTATAGCAGTTAAAGTTGCTACTTGAGAAAATACTGAACCATAGAGATAAAAATAGCCCTGTGATTCAAATTATAAATTGTATTTGGAATAAAAATGAGAGAACTAGGGGTGCTAAAAAACACATCCTCCAAAGACAGATATTTACATGGGAATGTGGCAGATAATTAATTGACATATTACTGATCTTGCTGGATTTTATTCTGCTTTACTTCCATAAATTGCAGGATCTTCTTTATTTTATCTTTGCCAGAAGATTTAAACTTTAAAAGTCTTGCCCTCATAATTTGCAAGTTAATTAATTTATAAAGTAAATATAAACGCTGCTTAAGCTAATTCAAATGAAATGAAAAGTAAAATAAGAAGCCAACCTTATCACTGTCTGTAACCTACTAACACGGTAAGGAAAGCATCTGATGAGCTACCTGAGAAACTAACGTTACGTTTCCCCACTTTAAAACCAAACAAACATGGTGGTTCCGTGCCATGTTCATTTGTTTTGACAAAAGTTGCATGTTGTCACTTTTTTCGCTTTACAAAGCGCAGGCTATTTTAATTATTGTGATCAATTTGCGCCGTCAATCCCGGCGCATGCGCGCTTCATTTGCAGTCTGGACGCTGAGGCTCTGACTGCAGCGCTGAGAGGGACTCCTGCGGGAGCGGGGGGAGGCGCCCCACGGCAGAGTAGGAACGATACATGCTTTCACGTAAGAGTCTCCAAAAGCCGCCAGTGACACCGTAAAAAGTCGCCAGATTTGTCGCTAGTCGCTTTTTTGAAAAATAGTCGCTGGAGGGGTCTGAAAAGTCGCTGAGTTGGCAACACTGCACCTGCGGCGCTGACTCGCTCTGCCGTATTTTTTCCTCTTCCCCCGTTTCAGTCAAGTGGATGTGATGACGGAGGCGGCAGATGACGCATTAATCGCACGACACAACTAATCGATGATGAAATTCGTTGCCAACGCTTTTAAAAATCGATTTTTATAGATTCGTTGTTGCAGCCCTAATCTATGCTTCTTTTTCTATGTCTGCTTCTGTCTCCTTGAACCCCAGTGGGCCTCAGCAGATGGCCGCTCACACTGAGCCTGGTTCTGCTGGAGGTTTCTTCCTGTTCAAAGGGAGTTTTTCCTCTCCACTGTCGCTACAAGCATGCTTAGTGTGAGGGATTGCTGAAGAGTCAATGAGTCGATGCAATCAGCTGGTTTTCCTTAGATAGAAAACTTTGAATCAATCTGACTGGATGATCTGGTTGATCTGGATCTATAAAGTGACCATAGATAATTTAAACTGAAGCTATAGAAATAATCTTATTTAATCTGGAAGTGTCCATCAGCTGCAGGAGCTCAGAGGAGCTGATGACGTCCAGGTGTTAGAGGAGCTCTTCATCATCAGAAACCTCTTCTTCATCACTTTGCTGAGTTTTAATGTCGACTTTCTCCATTTTAATAAATTCTAACCCATAAAAACATGAAGCTTTCTGAAAGCAGCAGAGTCCTCGGGCTGTTATATCAGCTCATAATGCGGAATGAACATGAATCTACTTTAAATGACTGATTTACTCCATCAGGTGTGTTTACCTGAGTCCATCAGGCTGTAGAAGCGGTTCTTCTCTGGTCCAGAACACCTGACAGCGCGCGTGCAGCTCCGGTCCTCACTCCTTTAGACCGCAGGGAGCAGAGTTACCTTCTTCTTTATGTGGAGCTTGATGGCGGCTGGCAGAACGAAGCAGCTCATTACCGCCACCAGGTGGTGAGTTCCTGAACGGTCACTGTCGGAGGAGTTTCTGTTTTTTGTTTTTCAAAAAAAAAAAAAAAAAGCTTTATTAAACCAATGTAAATTACACCAGGTACCAGTACAGAACTGCATTAATTGCATTCACAGAAAGTGCATAAAGTATATCTTAATATAGAAATAAGAAAACAAATATAAACAAGTTTTGTTCTTACAAATTCTAAAGATTTAACATAAGATTTTGTCTAATTTTTCCAATGAGTGAATAAAATTTAACTAATAATATTAAAATATTAACACCAAAATTATGTTCAATTTTCGCAACTATACCAAATAAAATGACTCTTGGGGTAAAATCAGGTAACTGAATTCCTTTAGATTGGATCCACATCAGAAAATCAAGACAAAAGCTTTGGACCACAAACATAGATCAGCTGTTCCAGACTTTCACTTTCAGCCTCACAAAAAAAATTATATGACATGAAAAAACACAAACAAAGAGACAATAATAAAATATAAACATAAAATAAAAACACAAAAACAACAGTTTTCAGTGTCAAAATACATTTTTTTTTTTGCTTAGAAGTTAGTTAGTAGGGTAAAATCTGTTGATAAGGAAGTGTGTGTGTTTGCAGGTTTCCAAAGTTCTGGAGCTTTTTATTCTTTATTTCTTTATCCATTTGAATCGTGTTCATTCCTAGATTTATAAGTTTTGTATTATTTACTGAGTTTACTTGGAGGTTAAAAATTATTTATTATATTTATCCTTGTTTTATTATTTTTGGTTCTGAGGTAAGACAGGAAGTGATTTTTTTTTTTTTTTTATTAACTTTGTTAGTGATTACAGTAAGCAATCACCAGGGGTTTGAGCAAAAGAAAATAAATAAATAAAATAAAAAGTTTTTTAAATAGGAAGTGATGTGGAACAGTCCGCCTCATAACCTGTTACGTCATCTTCAGTAGTGCAACAACGGAACTGGTTCACAGCGACGCTCCTGTCCGGCGGTGGTACTGCAGGTCCAGCAGCGGCCCCGCACTAAAAGCGGGGATTCTCTCTTTAATTTCTGCCGGATCTGTTTGTTTCCGGTCTTGTTTATATTTTATTATTGTCTCTTTGTTTGTGTTTTTCATGTCATATAGTTTTTATTTAGTTGCCACGTGATGTAAGCCACATGCAAAGCAGGTTTTTCTTTTCCTCTGAAATGAAAGTGAAAGCATCTAAAGAGACTGAGTTCAAACTGCACAGAGAAAAGCAAAGAGTGACTAACATGGGGCTGCTGCTGCTGCTGGGGGCTTTTATATGCTGCTTTATGCTGAATAGTAAGTTATTTGGAGCCGTTTTGGATCTTTGGTGATCATGGAGCAGAATGTTGAGGTGAATGTTTACCTTCATGTCTGTCCTCAGGTGTAACCTGCGTCCATCAGATCCAATGGCTGCCCTGTCAGTTTACAGATGAACATGTGAGCCTTAATGCAGAAGGACTTGTTGACACTCAGCTGATCCACAGAGAAGCCATGCTGCAGTTTGGTCAGAAAGGAGACGCTCCAGTTAATCCGCAGGCCATCACTTTCCTGATCACAGGTAGGTTAGATCAACTCAGGTACCGTTTTACTGAGGTCTAGAAGCACTAGATCTACATTCAGCCATTCAGCAAAGATCCTGCTACATGGCTGTACATCTGATTTTGGTATTTGACCAATTAGATGATTCTTTCAATGATAGATTACCTGCTGGAAATTAAATTCAGAACAAGTCAAGGAAAAAAGGTAAAAAGCTAATTGAAAAGTTAAAAAGTTAATAAGTCTAGTTAACAATTAATTCAGGTTTATAAACTAAAAAGTGCCGCTATCAGCATTAATGCCTCTAAGGTTATATTGGACCAAAAAAAAAAATGTTTCTTTCACTCTCAGAGTTTTTTTCATGAATTTCTTATAAAAGCACTTTTGTATTTTTTCTTAATATATTTGGGTAAATTGGTGTTTCTTGTTATTACATTGACATTAATGTTTGCCATCAAAATATCCAGATTCTTTTAATGTTTCAAAGGTAATAAGGTCCTGGATTCCAATAAAACTTTTGGCTGGAAATGTTCACCTTCAAAGGATTTCACTGAGTGACCTATAAACTTTATACGGATCGGCCTTAAGCCTTTATAGTAGAAAGTTTTTATAGTATAAACGGCTTAAGGCCGATTCCGATAAGGATTAATTTAACATCTGTCTAATCGAGCGATATGTGCTGCTGATTTTTTTTAAAGCTGATGTTGATACTCCTTTCTCTATTTAAATTATAAAATTAGCACAGATGTTACATGTGTCTTGATTTAAAGAAGAATAAACATTTATTAGGAAATAAAACTCACAGTAACAGTAGATTGGAAGGATCTGAACACACTCTGAACACGTGGCTACTGAATGCAAGAGAAATAACACTACCGGCCAAAAAGTTACAGAGATGAAAACTGTAGCCCTTTACTTTATTACCATTAGTCATGTTTCTGGACTCTGGGAGGAAGCCGGAGTACCCGGAGAGAACCCATGCATGCACAGGGAGAACATGCAAACTCCTTGCAGAAAGATCCGGAACCTTCTTGTTGCAAGACATCAGTGCTACACACTGTTCCACCTTGCAACCACTTTATTCACTAATGACACTAATATTATCTTTTGTGGCCAGAATTGAAGCACTTTGTTCAAAACTATTGGAAAACAGCTAACCTGACTAAAATCTTCTGTTTATTTTCTATGTGTGAATTTGCTTGGTCATTATGCAGGATCCAGGTTGGACCTGCGGAAGTATCTGGATGGTGTGGAAACAGAGCAGCTGGAATGTGAGCTGCGCAGGTACAGCACTGAGGGCATCCATGTCCACTGGCCCAGCCAGGAAGCCAAGGACTACAACCGCTGGTTCACCTGCACCATCAAACAGGACAAGGGCCTGTTCACGGTGACGGGCTTCCTGAGGCACCCGTCCGATCAGCCCCCCCCCGGTCAGCAGGACTACCGCAGCTGGCCCGCCATCGCTGACTCTGAAATCCTCACTACATCCGGTAAGTTCAGCAGATTCCTGGAACTCGGAGATTCAGAAAAATATATATATTACTCCTCTGAAGTTAATCAATGTTCAGGTTTTTGTGGACAATGTGTCTTTCCATAAAAACAGCCATTAAAGGAAAAGACCAGTCAGCAAGGAATAATCAATGGATCATTATTTATACCCAAAACTAAAACGTTCGCAGTTATTTAATGAAAAAATAAAAATACAAATTTTCGTGGCGATCGCTGAGTCTGGGAGCGGCCATTTTTGCCCAAATATAGTAGCCCCTCCCTCCTGCCATCTTCCAGCAGTGACGTCACGGTGCGGTTAGCCTAGCGCCATTCTCCCCGCTTTACAAGCTAAATCAATGGGAACTACTAGACACATCTGCAATATGTTGCTACATGCTACGGTTGTGTTTCTCCAGCGTCGTGCAGCTTTGTCGTCACGCCCTCAAAACCCCGCCCACTTTGCATCCAGACATTCCAAACACATCTCTGCGTTGTGATTGGGCCGACAGATTTAGGGCCTGGGGCACTGATCGAGGTTAGACCACTCGCATCCTTAAAAAGTCTTAAAAGTCATTGAATTCTTCAAAATAATACTAAGGCCTTAATTGGTATTAAAATGTCTTAAATCAGTCTTTCGTTGATCTTATTTTTTAAAACATCATAAATAGGATTATTTTTATTACGATTTATTTTTGTAATCTAAATAAAGCATTAAAATTGCTCGCCATTATTGGTTCCGTCCCGATAGCGGAACCAATAAAAGCGTTGTTGCGGCCGGGACATTTGGGAGATGCACCATTAACTTTTTGTCTGGAAAATCTCAGCAAGTGTAAATGTAACCAAAATTGTCTCCAGCCAAGAGTTTCCTCCATGGCTAAAACCAGGGAACATACATGAGGCTCAGTGGATTTAGTGCAAGAAGTCATTCAAGCTCAGAACGATGGGAATTAAGGCAGTGGAGTCGCACATGCGAAGCACGAAACACAAAGCGTCAAAATGGAGTTACAGAGAAACAGCCGGTATTTCTCAGTTTAGTTCCACCCTTGTCTCTGCAACGCCTCCACTTATCACCAAATCAAACATACTAAGAAAACCATACAAAGAAAAATAGCTACAAAAAAGACTAAAACAAAGTTTGTGAATTCAGTTAAATAATTGTTCAAATATATCTGTCATTTGTGTGTTTTTAGCTTTCTTCCTGTATGGGAAGCTTTTCAACATTTGAAACATTAGTGCAGTGGTTTATGTTAAAATAAACCTTTGGGTTAAGTTGTCGCAAGCAGGTTTTTCTTGTGTTTCTTGTGAATTTGGTCTTAAATTTTTATTTCAAGTGGCATTAAAAAGTCTTAAAAAGTCTTGAATTTAACTTGCCTTATGCTGTAGGAACCCTGTTTTGGCCGCTGGCGGGTGGAGCTAGTTTACTAGGATAAGAGGAAACTAATCTCTACAGCAGAGAGTAAATAAAGATGCTAGAATATAATGGAAAATAAACCAAAGATCAACAAAACAGAACAACTGATAACTGAAAACTAAAAACTCAGAGTCCCAAAAGGGGAGAACCATGACACTTATTCAATGAACAGTTATAATTTCATAATTAAAGTACTTTCAGAAGTTTAAATTCTGAATATGAGCGGACTTTTCCTTTAAAATGATGTCAGAATTAAGAAGGAAGCAGAAACACAAATTAGCTCAAAACAAAAGTAAAGATTTACACAAATAAAGACAAGTAAAACAATAAATGGCTGAATAAACTCCAGAGGAATAAAGATTATTTATTAGCTTGTTCTTACTTAAAACCTCATGTTTTCTGATGAAACTTCTTGTAAAACAATCTCAGTGATGCTTTCTAATAATTATATCAATCAATCTTTTCCATGGGCGGAACGAAATATCCTCTTTACATTTTAATTATGGTTTTTTTTTTTTAACCAAACTACATAAATTTAAACAAAATGAATTTACTGACATTTATTTATAATTGATGATGGCATATACTTTATGCTGTGTCTGTGTATTAGCCTTTAAAAATGTTTGAGTTGCTTTTTTTGTCGATATAACATGCAATATATTTCAGCATAGATTAATAAAGAATAACTTCATTAACATTTCCCAGTGAATTACTTTCTATTTCCACTACTTTCTATTTTCTAACGTTAGACCCAATGTCAATGTCTAACTCAGTCAATGTCTTCCAGTCAGTCTGAGATAGCCAGACTAATGTTAGTCTGCAGACTAAACTATAGGATCCATCAGCTGTAGATGGATTTATTGCTTAGTTCATCCACTGACTGGGAAATTACCAGTGGAACGTCTTCCTGCAGACAGAAAACTGCTGGTTTTAGCAGCCAGATGCTGAACAGGGAGGCATTTTACTGCATGTCTCTGTGGGAGTGGGGAGTACCAATATGGCGTCCAGTGGCTTCACTTTTTTTGGGCAATCAGCAATCCAATGAATAAATAGAGATCATTGGTTCACACCCCTAATTCTCTAAGTCTGACCTTGCGTTACTCTGCACGTATTAATATTCATCTTCAACTCTTTGACCCACAGTCGCCATGGTAACCAAAACCCAAACTCCGTCTGTGAAAGCCACCCTGAGCTCCCAGCAGAGGCTCCACTGCCAGTTTGGAATCGACCACCGTGGAGCTAACGTCACCGTGGAGTGGCACTGGCAGCAGCGCGGAGAGAGGAAGAAACTGTTCAGCCACAGCAGCCGCACACGGCAGAGCCACGGCTCCGGCGTCGGACTGAAGGGCCTGGCGGGGGGGGACGCCACCTACACCCTCCCCTTCACCAAGATGAGCAGTGAAGGAACATACATCTGCTCCGTGGTCGTAAATCCGCTGCTCGGGAGTCAGGACGTTGTTCTGCAAGTTGAAGGTGAGAGACGGACGGTCCATATGTCATATGTCCATACCTGAGTTGGCCCCCCCACCTTCTTCAAATCAGACGAAATGGGTGTCAATTAACTCAGCTCCATTTGTGCTGGTTTGTGCAGCAAAAATTGTCGTTTGTGCCACTATCATTTTAAAGATATAAAGAGATGTTTCTCTTAGAGAACGTTAGAGATTGAACTAACAGATTCTGCAGAGTGGGAGAATAGAGATAGAATGAAGCAGAATGATGAAAAAGGGGTCCCTATGTCCTCCAGCAGTCTAAGCCTATAGCAGCAGAACTATAGAGATAGCTCAGGATAACCTGAGCCACTCTAACTAGAAGCTTTATCAAAAAGGAAAGTTCTAGGCTGAGAAAAGACCACATAATGATGCTGCTAAAGTTAGGGAGTGAGCGACAAACCCCATGATGTCAGTGAAGGAAAAGCGGTTCTCCAAAAGTAACCAAAAGATCCAGTTAAGGACTATTTTAGTGAAGATGTCGAGATGGGACTAAGGTCTAAAAGTTTAGTCATTTGCCCCTTTTATACTGCCCTCTGAAACCAATCCATGCCGATTTCAGACCGAGCCTGGATCAGTTAACCGTGCCGAGCTTGGTTCTTACGACCATTTACATGCTTATTACTGTTCCTCGCCTCCTATTGGCGGTTCACGATACTACAGCTCTCAAGGCGGAAATTATTCAAACCAGAAATGCGGCACCCATAACATTCAGGAATTTATGCTGGTGAAGATTCTCAGTCATCCAGGTCAGAGTCAGTCCAAAAAAGTTAAAATCAATCCTCTTGAATTTTGTTTTCTAGTTTCAAGACATTTCCCTTCTCATCCAGGAAGATTTTTCAATTCAAAATGTCAGAAATAGCGTTTAGTTCCAGATTTTATCCAGCAGCCCAACAAAGCCTTGGGGTTGGGGCTGCGATGATAGCAGGAAGGAATCAACTCAATCTCTGCATTGTAGGTTTTGAGAGTCCCCCCCCCCCCCCCCCCCCCGTTTAAGGTTAGTTTCTCTTTCTTAACAAAGATGGCTTCCTTCACGCCCCTCTCAAACCACCTGTCTTCTTTGTCCAAAATGGGAATGTTCAAAATGTTCACTTTTCTGACATTTAGACACGCCGGAAAACCTGCGAAATGAGTCAGCTGACTGTAAGGAGATGAGGCGGTCTGCTCATTCGCTCTTTGTTATCAGAGAACCTATGGAAGCTCATTGGTAGAATTCTCTTATGACAGAAAGAAGGCCACGATTCACACCATTTATCATCGGGAGGGGGGACACATTTAATTACAAAACCAAATTCATACAGCTGTCTTAAACACTTCATACATCCAGCAACGCGTCGTCAAAAATTCTGTTATCCCCCAACCTTCAGTCGATTCAGGCTTGCATTTATAGTTTCCACATCGCATTACGTAACAGCACATGCACAGGAATATCATGTCGAAAGCTTACTGGAATTCACGTGGGCTGGTCTGCGTCAAAATCACTCCGACCCTCAAAGAATGTTTATAAAGATGCTCTCTGTTTATGCCAAACCTCCTCATATATCATCTAATTGCATACGAATAAGGCATTAGAGACTTTACTATTGCTAAGACTCATACTTGAACTTCAACATGTACTGTTTGTTGCTAAGTAAGTATAGGGCCATGTTTTAGATATATTCTGATTCTGATTCCTGATTCTGATCTGATATAGGACAATAAAACTGCTTCTACAAACCGAGCCACAGATGAGCCCTACTGTTGAACTAGTTCTAGCTTTAGCACAGCTCGGTTGTGTCTGGCACGGTCCAGTTCAGCTGCGATCCATCTACATCGGACAGTTACCTCGGTTACCGTGATCGGACCGTTCTCAGCACAGATTCTAAAGGTTACTCTAAATGGGGCTATAATGACCAGAATTTGAGGAGACCAAATTAACTGCTCCCTAAAATTAATACATTTATATCCTAAAGTTCTGAAGAATGTTAAAAATACATATATCTAATTAATACAGAGTTTAGCAAATTAAAATATTTTGTTTCACTCACTATGAAAAAGGATTATTTAGTCTAATATAAAGTCACAGTAAGTAGAGGCTTTGGTGCCTTTTAATTATCTATGTATCTATAAACATATCGGAAAGGCAATGGAATATTAGAAGTTGTTCAAACATTAAACGAAGTGGATGAGAATCTATTAGACATCAGGTTCTTTTCCCCAAACATTAGGAATGATTTTAAAAGATCGGTTGTGCATTAACCTAAAACTCCGCCAGCTGTATTCAGAGTTGACCGTATGTCGTCCTCCATCACCTCTTCCAGAGCCGCCGCGCGTCTCCTTGAACGTCGGACCTGTTCTGTCTCTGTCGGATGGCGAGGATCAAAAGATTGTCTGCGAGGCGGAGAACTACTACCCTCTGGATGTGGAGATAAACTGGTACGAGCAGGACCCGGCTGTGGCGGGTCAGCGGGTCGGGGCCCCGCTGCCTAAGATGATGCAGAACGTCCTGCTCTCCAGTCACAAGCACAACCAGGACATGACCTACTCCGTGTCGGCCTTCTTCTACCTGCAGGCCTCCCCAAAGGCTTCAGGGAGGCAGTTCACATGCAGCGTCTCCCATAAGTCCCTGAGGCTGCCCATCAAGAAAAGCTTCATCCTCAAAGTTCAGGGTGAGACTAGAACTTAGAGGCTGTGCTGCAGAGCTTTGACCACCAGGTGGCAGCATAGATTCACATTGTGTTTCGTTTTCTCCTTGCAGAACCCAGTCTTATGTGGGTTGGAATACTAGTGGTCTTCCTGCTTATTATTCTGGGTGTGTTGATCCTTTATCTGCACTCAGGTAACCGATAACTACAAAAACAGAAAATGAAAGCTCATCTGAATAACTTTGATTCCCTAAAGTCTGACTTGCATTTTTTTCCCCAACAGCAAAGAAAAAGCAGGTAAAGTTAAATATTTTGAATCAATTACCAATTTCAGTATATAATCCTGCTAAAAAAAACCTGATAAGCATATATATATATATATATATATATATTATTATTTTTTTTTATCTGTGTCTGTTTTATGTGTGCACTGAACAGAGGAGACTTTACTGAGCCGCTCTGCACCGTGAGGAGAATCGTCGCCGACCCGGACGTTCTTCCTACTTCCTTTGTTTGCTGTTTTGGATCATTTGGGGTTTCTGTGCATTTGTGTTTTTTATGTTGCACTGACTTTAATGTATTTTTAAAGATTTGTAGTTTAATGATAAGAATACTTGATCAATGAACGGAGACAAAATTATAAGTTTAACAGTTGAATTGGATTTTTACCTTTGATGGATGATTGGAGCATTGCTCTCTGCACATTAATCACCATCTGAGTGTGTAAAATAGAGGATATATTTATTATTACCCTGATAATATATTTATTATCAGGGCTGCAGGGCAACGCCATTTATTTTTGTTTGTTGTTTTTTTTTTGCATTTACTAAATAACAAAATGACCTGTAGTTTTAATTTATGGCATAAAACAATAAATAATTGTGTTGAAGAAAGAGGGAGATTATGCAAACATGATTTTAGCTATTATTGTGTGGCAGTTAAGTGTGAATCTGCGTTATATGAAGTGAATTTTGTTCCATTGTTGTAAAAAACAAGTTTTGTAATTTGAAATTTGGAAAAAAAAAATCTAAGACATTTTTAATAAAAGATAAAAGTTTTAGGTTAACTTAGCTATTTTCTCATGTTTTTGTTTTTTCTATTTTAAAAAAAATAACATTTGTTACATATTTAATATTTTACATTTTGGAAATTTCTGTTTCTCAGATTGCGGTTTACAATTTGCCATCTTTTCAAACATCCTTTGCTCTTATTTTATTGAAAACTAACAGACACCATTTTAGAATAAAGCATTTTCACATCAGAAAACTGCTTCTCATCAGAATTACCCTGATGTTCCTCGGACCTATACGGTTTCCCACAATCCTTTGGGACAGGCAGTACGGGAACCGTCCACCTCATAGAGTTTAGCAACAATCCATTATTTCTTCACTCTATGTGACACGACATCCTAATATTAGCACATAGGTGTTTTAAATTTCACAAAGGAGAGATTTAGATGTTCACATTTTTGGAGCTTTGCTTTTTTTGTTGAATGAATGATGCATGAAGGTTAGCAACATCATCATCAAAGAGTGAGCTAATATAGAATAGAAAATCCCTTAATTGTATCACAATGGGGAAATTGTGGTGTTTACAGCATCAGAAAGGTTATTGAAAAAATGGTCACATACATGTGGACCTTAGAAAAGAAGAATAACATAATAGTGAAGAGTTAAAAGATAAACAATAAAATACTGTAAAGTGTTTAAACAACATATATGCTGTGCAACTGGAGAATAAATAACCAATATGCAGCTATGGACAATTTTCCAGTAATGGATATTTGAAAATAGCAGCAACATCAGAGATGTGCAGAATGACAGCAGCAGGTTATTTAACTCACTAAGATAGAAACTGTGCAAAATCAGCATGAATGGAAGAACTGATTGAGGTTGTTGGGAACAGTGGTGGTTCTAGAGTCTTCCAGCTGCTGGGAGGAAGGATCTGTGATAACGCTCCCTGGTGCATTTAAGGTGCAGCAGTCTGTCACGGAAGGAGCTGTCCAGTTCAGCACCAGCTGAACCAGCATTGGGGGGGGGACATTATCCTACAGTTCATTTAGTTATTGGCCGTTTCTCAATATGCGTTCTTGAGCGTTCTCATGTTCTCATGACACGTCATCAGCCTCAGCCCGAGTACCGTTCCAATTCTCGAGAACGCCAGATCGAGAACGCATCAAATCCCCGGATGTTGTTCTCACCCCGCCCTCTTTATCGAGCATGCATCAGAGCAGACTTGTGCGTTCTTCAGACTGACCGCTTCCCCAGAATGCACCGCGGCCGCAGCTTGATTCCAGACAGCGCTCACAGTGTTAAGTTAAACATTCCCTTTTCTGCTGCTGTTGTTCTTCAAAAGTACGTTTTGAAATAATTTGAGGCGATAACATTATACATTGAAGCCTCCCTGTGTGGTCTGTTTACAGAGTTAGTGCGAAATTTAAAAAAAAAGTCTGACGTTGAGCGGACCAGAGTGACCAGCAGACCTCCGAGGGTAACCGCAGCCAGGGCCAAATTTACCCCGTCTGTAGTGCACTTCTCTCGGTCTAGTTATGTGTGAACTACCGCTCGTTCTGATGGCGGTTTTTAGCGGTTCAGTAATTTTTTTTAATGTTTTTTAAGCTTTAGAAATTAAAAGTATTGTTTTCAAAATGTTTTGTGTAGGGAATAAATAGTTTTGACTGTTAAAGAAATGCTAAAGAACGTTGCATGTGATGACGTCACGAGTACGCTTCTGCTCCAATACACATACGTGCTTGTGTGCTCGCGTTCTCGTCAAGTCCGATTTTCCTGCGTTCTCGCCAAGAACGGACTTGACGAGAACGCGAGTACGTACTCATTGAGTTTGAAGTGACCAGAATGGGATCTGTAAAATTAAATTTGAAAAAAATAAAATAAAATTAAGCCGCTGAGGCGGGAGACCTGATGCAATTCAGGACGTGAGGACCAAACCATTTATTGCACTTTCATGGGATAGGGGGGGGTGTCAATACATTCATGCTGTGTTTTTCTGTTTACTGCGGAAAAATCAGGGAGAACCCAAAGATAATACATTTTACTGATGGATTTTCTTTTTATATTTAAAAAATATAGAGGGATATATCTTTCCTTCTTCCGTTGGGCCCCCATCCGCCAAGGGCCATTAGAATCTTCTTAACTTTCACCCCCCCCGTACGGCGCTCAGAAGTCTTTGGTCTTGGGTGGAAATAGTTTGGCTCACCGATGGCCAAGCCTGACGCTCCAAACATAATACCATCAGTTTCTGTTTTCTTGTCACGCTTCTGAAACATCTCTTGGTTTCGTTCATGGAAATCAATCCAACTGTTGTCAGCTACGAGTCTAAACACGAGGATTAGAAACGGTTGTAACAGACACGTACAAAGATTGCATGTAGTAAATCACTGGCTAACCAGTTCAGTGAGAACGACATGTTTAGGAAACATGTCTGTGCTTTTTAAACAATGGTGTCAAATGTGTTTTAGTTTTGTAATTAATGTGGATACAAACTGGAGGTTTCAAGTTTTTTTTTAGGTATTTTCCTGACTCACATGTAGAATCATCTCAGGACAAACAGCGGGAGAAGGGATTTCATGACAAAGATGATACACAGCTGTGAGAGGTCTCTGAGTCCGTCCCACGGGGCGTCTGGAAGGGAGAGAAGATATTAGAGGAGGTGAGGGGGAACAAGCAGTGAGTATGAAGGTGAATCAGGGGAAGAACCGACGTAATGTGGGGGAAGGGTCAGAGGGAAGGTGGAAGCCAGGACTGAGGAACCCAATTTATTTCTTATTTGTGCACATTAATTTCGATAAAACTCATTTGGCTAAAATGCCATCAGAACGCTGATAATATTAAGTGTGTCTCAGCCCCCCCCTTCAGTGTCCACCATATTGGATCAGTCCATTTGCTGCACATGTTCAGAAAGGTCCAAACAGACAGCAGCAAACCATTTGAAAACAAACCATGCAAAGAGCAGTGTTGCCAACTTAGCGCTTTAGTCGCTATATTTAGCCACTTTTCAGACCCCTCTAGCACTTTGATTTCTAAAAAGCTCCTAGCGCCAAATCTAGAGACTTTTTTCTGCTACTGGAGACTTTGGAGACAACATCTAAAAGCAGCGAACTCTGCTCTCCAGAGCGAGTAGATTGGTAACCCCGCCTCCTGCTCTCCTCTATCTTGTCTGCTGTCATGATTCATGCAGCTATTATTTCATCCAAATGAAAAATGGAGAACAGATAAGCAGATCATGGCTTGTCTACAGTGAAAAGAAGGACTGGGTTATTTACTTTGGCCTTTTTGGAAACACAGGAAGGAGCAATCAGCTAAGTGAGCTTAGTGCTTGGAAAAAATCTTTCATTCCTTTAGAGACAGCATGAAAAGTCAGCTGAGTACCAAACATGGAGAGGAAAACAAGAAGAAAAGGGACAAGAAGAGAGGGACACAACCTAGAACAGATAATGGATGTCTATTCTATTAACATTTCTCTATCAGGAGAATGGGGCTGTTTGATGTGTTCTCCATTCAGAGGGCACCCTGCCTGTCTTTGCCTAGGGCCCCAAATTTCATAAATCCACCCCTGGCTAACAGCATATGGAGGGAATCTTCTTCCAATATTTTTGCAAGCAAAAAATACATTTTCCAACCATCTTATCTGTTAGGGTAATGGCGGGGGTGGTGCCTATCTCCAGCAGACTAAAGGTGAGATCCACCCTGGACTGGTCATCAGCAGTGGCGACTGGTGGAGTTTTCTCCAGGGGGGCTATAACTTCTAAATAGACCTAAACCAAAAACCAATCCAACGTATGCTATGTTATCAGGCCAGTATTTTTATATGAATGCCAACGACTTAAAACAACATTATAAACTGTCCTGCAAAGTGCTTTAAATCAGTTCTAGCTGTCTTTATCCATGCTGGCTCAGATCCTGACCTTTAAAAATAGAGAAAGGGAAAGCAGGATAAAGCATTAGCCTCGTTGCAAGCAGTTAGCCTAGCCTTGGAGCTAAATAATTCTATAAACCTGTTGTCATGATTTGGTTGAGGTTAGAGAACCCAAATGCAGAGGCAGTAGCTTTAATGAATTAAACACAGGTAACAGGTGGGAATCCAAAAATCCTAATAAAAAATTTAAAACAAACCCGAACAATGGAGACATCAGGGGAAAACAATCACGAAGAGCCGGGGTGAGAAAAGGTAAGGTGAAGTTAGATGAGGATCCAGCACTGAGGAACTGCACAAGGAGTGTATTTATGGGAGATTGAACGGAGAGAGGACTAACGAGCAGATTGGGAGCAGGTGTGAACAGAGCAGCAAAGGAAGGAGCTACGGAAAAGGAGACTTACACAAGAGAGCAACAGAGGGAAACCTTAGAACTCAAATATATCCAGAAAATACAACTGAATAGGAATTAAACCAATAAAACTAGAAAACATGGAACAATAAAGACTGTGACACCTGTCAATCAGTTAAACTTTCTAACAGACGACTGTGACGTCAGCGCCATGGAGGGAGGTGTTGGCTCTGGGTGCAGGAGAGCTGCTCCTATCTTTAGCATTGAAGAGGAGCTGCTGCGAAGATTTTAAGAAATACGTCACCAATCCGACGATGAACAAAACATATTTACTCGTCATTAAAGATTCAATATTTATCTTTTATTAATATATTTGGAAATTGTTTTATTTATATATAAACTCTGTCTTTTAAAGACATTCTCCATTTTATTTTCATTCCTGCAATAACGTCTTCGGT